AGAATTGGAAGCCAAAGCTGCTAAGGCTGTTGTATTGGAGACTCGTTTGCCGCAAAGTGAGCAAGAAATGGTAACGCTTAGCCAAGAGATTGGCTCGCTGAGGTTTAAATTTGATGAAGCTAGGGCCAAATGGGTTGAAATCCATAATGCTGTTCTTGCTGCATCCGACTGCGAGGCTACCTCCGCTGAAAGATTGACCAACTTAGAGGTGGCCTTGAACTCCAAAACTGAAGAGCTTGCTTGTGCGGTGGTGAAACATGCCCAATTAGAGGAGAAGTATAAGAAGACCCTTTAGCGTAATAGAATTTTCAGCTCTACTGTCCGCGAACTCGACGTTAGCCTCAAGTCCATTAGATTCACCCGGGAAAATCTTTCTGCCGAGGTTAACCAACTTAAAGAAGAACTCAAGTGCCAAGTAGCTTCCCTCGTTTTTGAGAAGACTTATGTTATGTACAACATGAGGAGTAAAACCTTGGAAGAGGACAAATATGGTATCATTGACTTTGATGCTGAAATTGCTAAGGCCCGTGAGCTTGAGTTAGCCGCTAAAAGGGGCCTCCCGGGAGGGCCTGATGCTTTCGGCTCTGGTTCTGAAACTTCGGGAACTGAAGATTAAACGGAAGGCGAAGATGTTGAAGGCCAAACTGATGAGGGCCAAAATGTTGAGCCATCGGCGGATCTACCCACTTCCCTTGGGGGCGCGGACACTTCTCTTCCTCAGCAGTTTTGCTTTTCTTTTCATTTTCCAACTTTTGTATCTGTACCACTTTGGCACGTTATTGTAAATAAAGACATCTTTTTGCTCAAGTATTGTTTGAGTCTTTCTTTCATTTAAACATTTATGCAAGTTTTGCATTCTTTTTTTCTTTTGCTGAAGTGTTTTGCGCAAGTTTTACTGTTTGCGTCTTATTATGTAAAGTCTTGGGTGTGTTTTTCCCCGAAAGCATTTTGATTTCGGGCACAAATTCGTCCAAAATCGACCCTTTAACGTGAGGGTTTTCATAAGCATTTGCGCACGTTTGGTTTTTGCGTCTTTTTGTGCAAGGCTTCAGGTGTATTTTTCCCCGAAGGCCTTTTGATTCCGAGCATAAGTTCTTCCGAAATCAACCCTTTAACTTGAGGGTTTTAATAAGAGATGGCCCTTTTATGTTTACAGTGCTCTTGAAGAGGACGACTCCTGTTCATTACGACACTAGTATTTGAAGTACTTGTTTAACTTTTAAATGATAAAATCATTTCATCGATCAGACAAGAAACAAGACAGAAAATAAAAGGACTTTACTTTGTTCCTTCCGTTTTCAAAGAGTACATAAACATTCGTTGTGCTAAAAAAAAATAGCCATTTCTTGTGGCTAATTCGTCAACTTGTTTCTACGGGACTGGCTGCGCAGTTCTCGGTCCCGATGATACAACTATGTTCCCAGTTTTCGTGTTCTGGTCGACATGGCAGTCATTGCTGCCGTATTCTCATATCATTCCCCCTAGTGTACGAATGGGAAGAATGCGAAATGGAACACTAGAAATCTTGCACCTTCGGGGATCCCACTAATGAATTGCTAGACAATCTTCAGCTCGGTAACAAACTTTGCTTCCCCTTAGGAATTTATGCTATCGAGCAAAAGACTGTCTAACAATCCTCTAGTGGTTTACACTTGTGAATGGTCGGGTAACCTTTGTTTGATAGCAAACTTAACTTCCTATTGGGAATTTTGCTATCGAGCGAAATATTAACTAACCGTCCACGTGGTTCTTCGCTTGCGTGCCTTGCTATTAAAGGTCTTATTGCTGCTGTTGAAACCTTCTTTGTAGTATGCTTTCCGTTGCTGCCTCATTTAAAACCTTGCCAGAAAAGCCCAATTGGGACAAAAACTGAACGAAGGGAAAAATAGTGCAGCACATACTTTCAGTACATGTGTGTTCATCAACAATAATATCTCTTGAGGTGCACCACATTCCAGTTGCTTGGCAATTTTTCTCCATTTTGATTCTCCAATTCGTACGAACCTTTCCCGGTGACAGCTGAAACCCAGTAGGGGCCTTCCCAGGTTCAACCTAGCTTCCCTACGTTGAGTTCCCGGGGTGTTTTGAGTTACTTTCCTTATAACCAAGTCTCCAACTTTCAAATAACGGAGGTTGGCTCTTCAATTATAATATCATTCCATTCTCTGCTTTTAGGCTGCCATTCTTATATGGGCCAAGTCCCTACGCTCATCGAGTAGCTCCAAGTTGATTAACATTGATTCGTTGTTTGTCTCTTCATTTGCTTGGAAATATCTCAAGGTAGGCTCCCCTACTTCCACTGGGATTAAGGCTTCTGCTCCGTACACAAGGGAAAAAGGAGTCTGTCCTATGCTTGATTTGGCCGTTGTTCGGTACGCCTATGGCACTCCAGGCAGTTCTTCAGGCCATTTACCTTTGGTCGCTTCTAACCTCTTCTTGAGATTTTGTATAATCACTTTGTTCGTTGGTTCCACTTGACCATTTGTGCTCGGATGGTTGGGCGAAGATGTGATTTTGTTGATTTTCAAGTCTTCAAGAAACTTTGTGATCTTTGCACCTATAAATTGTGGCCCGTTATCGCAGGCTATCGCTTTTGGCATTCCAAATCTGCAAATTATGTTCTCCCATAGGAAATCCACCACCTCTCATTTGCCAATCTTCTGATAAGGGCCTACTTCAACCCACTTAGAAAAATAGTCAGTAAATTAAAAGAAATCTTACCTTACTAGGGGCCGGTGGTAGCGGTCCAGCGATGTCCATTCCCCACTTCATGAATGGCCATAGAGACAGAACTGAGTGCAACGATTCTGCTGGTTGATGTACCAATAGTGCATAGCGTTGGCACTTATCACATTTCTGCATGAATGCTTTGCCGTCTTGCTCCATTCGTGGCCAATAATATCGTGCCTTTACTAGTTTTAGCACTAAGGAATCTGCACCTGAATGGTTTCTGCATATTTCGTCGTGGACTTCTCGCATAACATAATTAGCTTCGGACGCTCCCAAGCATCGTGCCAGCGTGGCCTTAGAAAGATTTCCTGTACAGTTGGCCCTCTTTGTAGCTATACCGTGCTGCTTTGGCGCGCAATGCCCGGGACGCCTTGAAGTCTTTGGGAAACTTCCCGTGTTCAATATAATCGATGATCTCATTCCTCTAGTCCCATACCAAATTAGTCATATTTACCGCATAGTAGCTATCCGCATCTAGTACCGAGTGCATGAGTTATACTACAGTACCGAATTGATCCCTTCATTTTCGTTGTTGAACCCGAGGTTAGACAGTTCATCCACTTCTGCATTTTCTTCCCTCAGGATGTGAGTAATCGACCATTCTCGAAATCGAGCCACCAAAGCATGGACCTTCACTACGTACTGTTGCATGCGCTCCTATTTTGTTTCGAAGATTCCCTAGACCTGATTTACCACCAGCTGGGAGTCACATTTGATTTCTATGACCTAAATATTAGTCCCCGAGCCAATTCGAGTCCTGCAATAAAAGCCTCATATTATGCTTCATTGTTAGTTAAAGGGACCGTTCTGATGGCTTGCCTCAGGGTTTCTCCCGAAGACGTGGTAAATACTATGCCAAGCTCGGACCCTTTTATGTTGGAGGCTCCGTCCATAAATAAGGTCCAAACTCCCGATGTCAATTCTGACACCATTACTGCCTCTTTCGACGCTAGAGGCTGCAATTCCGGACTGAAATCAGCCATAAAGTTGGCCAAGACTTGTGACTTAATCGCAGTCCTTGGCTTATATTCTATGTCGAATTCACTCATTTTGACGGCCCTATTTTGCCAATCTACCCAAGAGTTTGGGTTTGTGAAGGATGTTCCACAAGGGAAATATGGTTACCACAGCTATCCGGTGACAACAGAAGTAAGACCTTAGCTTCCGAGCGGCGACTACGAGAGCTAGGGCAGCTTCTCCAAATAAGGGTAGAGAGTTTCTGCTCCCGCTAAAATTTTACTAACGTAATAAATAAGAGATTGTATACCTTTATCCTCACGGACTAAGTCGGCGCTTACCGCCACCTCGGAGACTGCTAGGTAGATTAACAGTGTTTCCCCTTCCTCCGGCTTTGATAATAGCGGAGGGCTTGACAAGTACCTCTTCAAATCCCTCAAAGCCTTCTGGAATTTCGGGGTCCATTTGAAGTTGTCTTTCTTTTTTAGCAACGCAAAGAAACGGTGGCATTTGTCTGAGGACCGGGAAATGAACCTACCCGTGAGCCTTTTGACTTCTTTCACGCTTGACAGCTGGTCCAGGATGTCTTCGATGGATTTGATCTTATCAGAGTTTACCTCAATTCCCCTTTGTGATACTAGAAATTCTAGGAACTTGCTGGAGCTAATTCTGAACGCACACTTATCGGGGTTAAGCTTCATGTTATGCTTCCTTAGGATGTAAAAAGTTTCGTGTAGATGCTTAAGGTGATCACCTGCGTTCAAAGACTTAACGAGCATATCGTCTATATAAACTTCCATAGTTTTTCCTATTTGTTTTTTCAAACATCTTGTTTATGAAGCGCTGGTTAGTGGCTCCGACGTTCTTTAGCCCAAAGGGCATCACGTTATATCAATATGTGCTGAAATTCGTCATGAACGAAGTCTTTTCCTGATCCTTCGGGTTTATCTTAATTTGGTTGTACCAGGAATAAGCATCAAGGAAACTCATTAACTCGTGCCCGGCCATTGCATCAATTATTTGATCAATTTTTGACAGTGGGAACGAGTCTTTCGGACATGCCTTATTCAAGTTCTTATAATGTACGCACATGCGACATTTATTGTTCTTCTTGGGAACTACTACTACATTAGCTAGCCAGTCTGGATACTTTACCTCTCGGATCGTACCGATATCAAGTAAGCGAGTTACCTCTTCTTTGACGAACTTATTCCTGGCCTTCGCAATAGGGCTTTTCTTTTATCTTACCGGAGGGATGTTGGGATCCAAGCTTAGCTTGTGTATGGCCAATTCCATTGGGATACATGTCATATTCACATGCGACCACGCAAAACAATCTGCATTATATTTAGGATCTCTCCTCGGGATGTCACACTTGCGAGGTTGAATTCGGCGAGGAGTTTTGTAGCCGAAATGATGCTTCCAGTAAGTTTGGCTTGTTCTAGTACCCTCCATTGCATGATATTGGCCGAGCTTTCTGGATTCACTATAACGCGTTTTATTTTAAAATCTAATACATTTAAAGAAATTACCAGTGCGTCATTGTGCGGTAGCAACAATCCGTCTGCATCCTCCTCCGTGCAAGTGATGTCGTCTTCAGCGACTTCCCGGAGTCTCTTGCTATGGGTTATTGATACGTTCATTTTTTTTTCTACCGAGAAGCTGACCCCATTGATCTCGTTCCCCCTAAAGATCATGTTGATCGTCTGGCGCGGGGGATCTTCCCCTATTTTCGAGGGTTTTACATTATCATGGTTGCGGCCGTAGTTGTACTTGGCCCGGTCACTTAAGAATTTTTTGAGATGTCCTTTCTTCAATAGTGTCGCCACTTCTTCACGCAGATGTTGGCAGTCCCCAATCCTGTGGCCATTCGTCCCATGATACTCGCACCACAAATTGGGATCTCTCTGGCTGGGATCGGACCTCATAGACTTCGGGAACCGTTCTTCTATAATGTTCTTCATAGCCGATACCAAATCTACTACACTGACGTTGAAGTTGTATTCTGATAGCCCGGGGTAGGAAGGACCCCGTGTACCTGATGTTTCTTTGTCTTGCAGTAATCTATTTTTCCGACCGCGATCAGTTCTTCTATCGGTAGCGAACCTGTCTGCCGATCGGAAACCTCTGCCGCGTCCTTCAGCCGTTCATAGGGCAGAAACTGGCCCCTCCAAGATCGTCTAACTGTGTCGAAATCATCTTTTGATTTTTCTTTATTATTCTCCAATCCTTTTATCGACGACGAGAAGCCAATTTGATCATCTTTAATCCTTATTTAGACTTGTATTGGTTGTGGATATTCGCCCAACTCGTCGCTATAAACTCGAGCAAGCTTTCCTTCAATTTTCAGGAAGCATCTGAACTTCTCGGATTCAGACCTTTGGTGAATGCTTCAGCCGCCCATTCATTCAGAACTGCCGGGAGCAACATTTTTTCCTTCTAAAATTGAGTGACAAATACCCGTAGCAACTCGGACTCTCCTTGTGCAATTCTGAATATGTCGGCCTTCCGGGCCTGCACCTTTCTGGCCTCGACACGAGCCTTAATAAAAGAGTCCGCGAGAATCTCAAAGCAATCTATGGGATTCTCGGGTAATCGCGAATATCACGTCAAGGCTCCCCTCGTGAGAGTCTCTCCAAATTTCTTCAACAAAATAGATTCAATCTTGTGGGGAGCTAAATCATTCCCCTTAGATTTCTGCTCCTACTTACTATTCGCCCATTTGCATGAGACCAAGCTCCGTCTCAATTCTTGCATGAGGCTAAGCCTTGCCTCCATATTTGCATAAGGCTAAGCATTGCCTTCTCTTTGCATGAGACTAAGCTCTGTTTTGATCCTTGTATGAGGCTTAGCCCTGCCTCCATATTTGCATAAGGCTAAGCATTGCCTTCTCTTTGCATGAGACTAAGCTCTGTCTCGATCCTTGCATGAGGCTAAGCCCTGCCTCCATATTTGCATAAGGCTAATCATTGCCTTCTCTTTGCATGAGACTAAGCCCTGTCTCATTCTTGCATGAGGCTAAGCCCTGCCTCCCCACTTGCATAAGGCTTAGCATTGCCCTCTCTTTGCATGAGACTAAGCCCTGTCTCAATTCTTGCATGAGGCTAAGCCCTGCCTCCCCACTTGCATAAGGCTAAGCACTGCCTTCACATGAGACTAAGCATTGTCTCCCTTTGCGTAAATGTTGCTCTATTCTACACCTTGCATTATCTTCTTCTCTCGGTGCTAAGCTCTGCCCCCAAACAAGACCAAGCTTTATCTTGTTATCACCTTTGGTATCATGTCTCTGCACTTCATGGGCTGATGTATAGCCAACTTGTCTGAAGGCGTCATAGTCCGAAGGCATCATCCTCATAGCCTGAAGACACCATGTGATGGCCTGAAGATCTCTCAATACTGCACATCATTATTCAAAGGCGTCATGGTTCAGAGGCCCCATTCTCATGGCCCGAGAACATCATTTCATGGCCTGCGAATCCTTTACCTCATGATTCATGACTCGGGACGTCATGGTCTAAGGACGTCATCCTCACTATCCAAAGACAACCTTCACGGTCCAAAGAGAATTCGCATCATGTTTAAATTCTCGCAATAATCTATATACTTGCATGCGTCGTGTTTTTGAGTTTGCAGGTGATCCAGGAAGTAACCATTCTTCAAACGGGAGCAACCTTCGCTCTGGTTTCCGCTCATACCATTTACACCCTGCCATTATTTCAAACATAATCGGTTCCCATTAATTACTCGCCTTTACTCTATGACCGTTCAGATATCTGCCCTGTGATACACCCGTTATGTTTGAGATTCACATTTCCAACTCCGCATAAATCCATCGGTTTCACTCACCGTTGGGTCCAGAACTACACACGGCCTGATTCCTGTAAAACCAGGGACATTTAGGTAGTTTAGAAACCAGGGTTCAGCCTATATTTTTCAAAAATACCCCATTCGATCAAAATCAGTCATTATTTCTTTACCCGACAACTCTTTCATCCTTCCCAAGTAAAGAGGGGCAGCTGTTGATACCCAATTTTTCCCTCATATATTTTTAATATGCATATATATTTTCAAAATAGTGCACATGCATTATTATTAGATTGACAAACATGCATAAGTGTTTTTATAATTTCCTATAATTTTAAAAGGCTTTAAATTAATTTATTTTAGCATTTTTTACACAAATATCCAATAATTATTCCTCATATTATTTTATGATGATTTAATCTCAAAATTTATTATTTATTCCCATATAGTGGTTAAATATTTTAATTGCATTTTATAATTACATTTGCATTTTTTAAGGCTAGAATTGCACATTTTGCAATAATAGCCCATGTATATGCATAATTATATTATCTATACAAAAAATGACTTTTTAAATTTTTAATAGGTTAAGTAAGTATTTTAAATATTTTTCATGCACAAATGATATTTTTACCATTTATTAATTATTTTTATAAATTATTTTACCAATTTAATAGGTTATTTAAAATCTAGCCCCTAAAAAACCCAATTTCGGACCTAGCCTAACCCAATTACCCTAGCCCAGTACATTAACCAGCCCAATACCCCATACCCATCCAACCAAACCCGTCCAAATTAACCCGCCCGACCATAATCTAATCCTAGTCGTTGATCTTCTAAGATCAACGGCTCCCAATCATCCATACCTTTTTAATTAATCAATGCCCTAACCCTAATTCATTATACACCACCCGCCGTCATTGAATCCTCTCATCTCTCCCTCACCTCTCAAATGCTAACCCGCTGTCACCATTCTCCTATGCTTCCTACCCAGAAATGGAATTATTCTTTGATTCCTTACCATATCTGGTCTTACTTTTTTACCTATTATCCGTCTTTGATGTTACTTAAACTGGTTTGCCTCAAATGGCAAGTTGACCTCGAGAAATTCGAACCAGATCTGGTTCAAAATCTCTTATATTGTAGTTCTTTGCATCTGTGTTCATCCTAACCCCCTGTGAGTACGAATATTTTCGTATCTTTTAATTAGGGTTTTAGATTTTGATTCGGACTAGATTTGGTCCGATTTCTGTTTGTTTTATGTTATTCTCCATCTATATTTGCTCTATTACTCGTCGAATCTGTCTATTTTTGGTTGAATCTTTTACTTACCCTAATTTAGATCTTTCCAGATCTGAAAAGATTTTCATTTTTAGTATTTTTTTCCTTTAATGTTTCGATATCTCTATCTCTATGTTTCATAGTTTCTCTACTACTTCTGACTGATTTCATTTACCCTAATTATTTACATCTATATGTCTTTGTATTTCTGCCTATTTTTCTAGGGTTTCGATTATCTAATTACTTCTCTTAATGTTTCTGTCTATTTGTTCTTAACTCTGGCGTTAATTGCAGACTAATTTTATTTATCCCAAATTAGGAGATTTTAGTCTTTCCCTCCTTGTATGGTACTGATATTTCCTTATCTGGTTCGATTTACGTGTTCTCATTATTTCCTTACCTTATTTAATCTGGTACTTGAACATCGATTGATTCTGTATAATATTTTTCCTAATTTTAGTGGTACTGGCCTGATTATATGCTGCTAATTGATTGAACTCCAACTTTGATTGGTTTTAGAGTTATTCCCATTCCTTATTTGTGTAAGACTGATTCATTACCTTGTTTGTCTTCCTAGTTGAGTACTATTTAAACCCTTCCCCCATTCGTCTTTAGGGAAGACTCGAACTCTCTTATTCTCACAACTAAAACATAAGCTCTCTTGCTCTCTCTTATATGATTTCTATGCTAAGTGTCTCTTGATTTTGGCCGGCTAAAATCCAAGGCCAAAATTGTTCTGGAACCTCATTGTTGTGGTATACTTACTTGCTTTCTCACTTAACTAGTGTACCCTAACCTTTGCAATTTCATTCTCTATGTTTTGCTTGACTAGTCTGTTTCAATTCTTCGCATGACTCTGTCCTTTATGTGATTATGTGATTCCATCTAGCAGCACTGCTAACTTAGGACTATTTTGTTCTGAATAATACGAATCCCTTTCATAGTTTAGCCAAAGGTTCAACCTATTTCATGCATTGTTGTTAATTCTGCACCTATTTCGAACTTTGCACATTACAAGCATGTAATCAGTTAGCTTGTTGCTTAACTCATATGCCCTGCCTGTGTAATTCATCTGTATGGCTAGTTTAATCATTTCTACCTATTTTTTTTATGTGATTAAACCATGTTTGTCCAGCATGAGTACTTAGCTCAACTATACTTCAATTTATTTGAATTATGTGTTTAAACATGAATTCTGTATGTTTCCTTGGTGCAGTTCTGCCTGCAATTCGATGTTTTGAATCTTGTTTTTCTGAAATCCAACTTTAAAAAAATCTTCCCCTTCTCTCATTTATATACTCTTAGTCCCTTAGGTTCTCAACCACCCAGTGTGAGCACTGCTTAGGGTCCTGAGACTCCTTTAAACTCTGACACACTGGGGGCTGGTCTTCCAATCTCTCATGCACTCTTTACTGAATGTGTGGTTCTGGTGTGAGCATTTCCCAGGGTCCCTGAGGCCCTTGGGAACTTTGACACACTAGAAGCTTGGTTCTAATGTGTTGTGGATGAACCATTGCTATGCTTCAAAGCTGCTATGTGAAAGGCCTGGTTCCCAGGTTTATTTGGGCCTGTGAAGGCTCCCGATAGTGTAACTGATACCATTATGTAATTCATTTGGCTATTCTGGTATGTAATAACAATGTAATAACAGATTTGGGGATATTTAGCAAAGCTGGGTGGTTTCTTATATCTTTTGTTAAAACTTGGTAGAAATTCTGCCTATGGGATTCAATTATGTTGATTGACTTATGTGAGTATTATACTGTGTTTAGAAATCCTGCCTATAGGACCTTCATGATCATGCTGATTCTGTATTTGACATTTGTATACTAAAGATCCTGCTTATAGGACTTTCGTTCAATTTTATACATTAGAAATCCTGTTCATAGGATCTATACATGTTTTCAAAAAATGTGCATTAGCAAGCATGCCTATAAGGTCTTGTTGTTTGAATTAACTGTCCTTCCGTGCAATTTGTTTAAGTTCTGCCCGTACACAATTAATAGATATCATGCTTATTGGATTCAAATCCGTTCAAACCTAGAAATCATGACTATAGGATTTAAATCCATTCAAACCTAGAAATCGTGACTATAGGGTTAAATCAATCCAACAATAGATATCATGCCTATAGGACTAAAAAATCAATTTCCAATTTAGAAATAACGCCTATAAGGGTTAAGTCAATTCAGTAATTAGAAAGCATGCCCGTAGGAAATAAAATCTATCTTTACGAGTTGAAACTAGTGCTACGCTCAGAAACCATGTCTATAGGTCTGTAATTAATAAGCTCGTAGGAATCATGCTTATAGGATCCTGTTCTGAATTCAATTGTTATTGTCAAT